GCTTTTCAGTTGTGTTTCTTGCTGGCTCATGATTAAATGCAGTGTCTTGTTCATACTGTCAGTTGGGCTTGTTTGGTGTGTCAGGTGGAGATTTACAAACATTCTGACAGTCGCGCTTTGAAAGCAGCTAAAAAGTAGCCACTACTTTTTCTGGAAAAGTAGCTCAATTGTAGCAGCTACAAATTTTGGGAAAGTAGCTACAAAGTAGCTAACTACTAATTTTTCAGTAGCTATCCCAACCTTGATTGACATGTACCACAAAATATATTTAAAATTTCACATAGTTCCTGTATTAACATGTATACATGCCACAATACTTATTATTACACATCACATAAATCTCCCAATGAAACATACATACATAATAATAAAAATACATACTATTACCATAGTATACACCCTCTTATAGATAAATATAAAATATATATACTTTATAGAATTTAAAAATGCAGAGTCCGTAGTTTTATTATATAAGATATTACAAAAGCTATAATCTATTACTTTCTTATGAATCCTTATTTGGCATTAACCGGCTAGTATCACATGCATCTTGCATTGTTCATACAACAGAAAAGAAAATGGTGTGACAATTTTAACCACACAGCACTGAAACCAAACTAACTAACCTATTGAACATGGCTATGAGAGAACTCACCTGTATATAAATCATTTAGAACAAAACAAAAAGATATCAATAGCATCAATAGCTTCTCACAAATATAGAGGGAAAACTATATGAACATTGGGCATGAATCAGTGAAGCTGAAATGCCCGCCATCTACCACTGGAGGGACTTAAAGCATTAAACTATTAACCAGAGTACTGCTCTGCTCAGTAAGTTCAAAATGTTTACTTGAAACCCCAAATTTCCTGTCACTATATTCACAGTATTAAAATATACAAATTTACTCATAAAACACCATCCTAAAATTCTAAAATGAGTTATTTAGACAGATTGCCACACAGATCAGGTTCACTGCAGACTGAGAATTTACATAAAAGTAACAATGGGGGAAAAACTATGAGTACCAAGAAAGGACAAAATATGTGTATACTCCCATAAGCCATAAGAACAGTTAAGAACTTGCAAGATACATTTAAAGAAGGAATTTCGTGTAAAACACATATTAAATTCATTCATTCATCTTCTGTGCTGCTTATCCTCCTGGGTCTTGGGGGGGTTGGGTGCCAGAGATCTCAACATTTATTGGGTGGAAGTAAGTAAGTAAATAAAGTTTATTTATGTAGCGCTTTTTACAACAGGTTTTGTCACAAAGCAGCTTTACAAGGAAATCAGCATTACAGAAAGAAATCCGGGTCTGAGCCCCCATGAGCGTTGCCAGTGGCGACAGTGGCAAGGAAAAACTCCCTAAGAGAAACAGGAAGAAACCTTGAGAGGAACCAGGACTCAGAAGGGGAACCCATCCTCCTCTGGTCGACACCGGATAGTAAACATTGTTAGTATAAAGACATTGTTAGTATAAAGGAAGGCAGGAAACACCCTGGACAGGTTATACCATAAATAATTAAAGTCAGTTAAAATTAATTATTCAATCTGTTACATTTGCATCTTTATATTGTCTTGTGATATAGCAGATCTTGAGTGCTCTGTTAGCTGTAAAAGTTGTTGCTCTATCACTTCAGAGATGCTGTGCAAAGCAAACTGGGCAGTGCACTATTTAATTAGGGCTGAAATCTCTATCCCACATCACTGTTAAAAGCTGTACCCCTGAGAACCCCATTGGACCCTACCAAAGCCTACTAAACCCCTGGTACACAAATGTTATGCATAGAAGAGATCCTGTACAACTGGGCAACTTTAGCAGGGAAGACCAGACTAGCAGCGGTTCTGCGTGATCTGAGACAGCATCCGGGCGAGAGCGGAACTGGCCTGGAACAGAGACAAACAGATACAAGAGTCAAGCAGTGACATAGACAAGAGTAGCAACAGAGACTGGAGCCAATTCAGGTTATATACAGAAACTGGATCAGAATTCAATACTTGAGAAACAAGAATGATCTCCTGATTTGTGACAGAATCTAGCTCAGGAATCCAATCAGGAACTGGGACAGTGGATCTGTCTGAAATAGCCTACTACATGTACAGCTTGTGTACTGACTGTAACCAAAAGTATGTAGTATGTGACCAACTTGACTTTCTACATTATGCTAAAGACACCTGGATACTACAAGAGGTATCTTCATGATATACAGCATCCCATAATGCATTGCAGTTATTTAAGAAGGACATAGCCATGGATGTAACCACCCAGTGGTCATGTGACTTTCTAATATGGTACACAATAAATTATGTCTATTGCTTGTCACATACTACTGTGAAGAGTTCTCTTTCTACTCTTCTCAAACCTTGGATATGTAATCCACTAAATTAAATATAGTAATCAATATTTTTGATGATTTTATGTCAGTTTCAGTCAGTGAACTCATAAATGATCACATTAGCCGATGTGACTTAAGTGGAAGGTAATGACTTACACTGAGGGAATTAGCCTGCTAATGTCAACCATTTATTATGAGCTAGCTAAGTATCTAAATATAAACTGCTCTAAGGTAAAAGTAACCAGACATTAGATGCTTTTGACCCTCTAGATTACATAATTAAAGAGGTATATTAGTACTGTTGCAGTAATGGTTGGTTTTGAGAAGCGTTTGATGTTTTGCTGGATCTTTGTAATCTCTGTCTTCCTTGTGTGTTCTTCTTGTTTGTTATGTCACTAATTAATAGTAGTTTCATTAAAAGTGCCACTACTGTTTAGGAAATGTTTTTTTTTTTTCATATAGGACTGTTTAATTTTTATAAAGTGTCTATACCTCCTAAACTATGAATCAGTTCAGTGATTCAGTTTTTAAACATTCGAAAAGCCAGATTATGTTCCCTTTTCCTGACTGTTCTTTTTCTGCTTCCACAGTAATTTTCCTGTATTCCATGGAAATTAAAGAAGGTTTAAAGTCTGAGGTTTAAGTTGCAGTTAAACTGTTTTTAATTGCTGAGTTGTTGTGTAATTACAGCATTATTGATAAAATCTGTAAAGCAAATGGCTTGGCCAGAGACTAGAGATTAATTTGCAACAACCAGTCAAAATAGTAATATTCTTGGAAATGTCAAATTTTAGTGTCTTTTTTAATATCGTAGCTTTAAAAGTTGCTGATCCCTGATGTAAGATAGTAACGCTAAGCTTCTAAGATTAAAAAAAATCTTGCTTTTTTCAGTTCTTCAAATATTTCAGTATTTTCAATACTGATTATAAAAATCTATGTAAAGGTTATGTTACAGTATATTTCAGTGTAAAAATGTGCCAGAAACAACCTTTGTTAGTCCATCTAACCAGATGCTTGCAGATGTCAAAAAGGATTTATTAACAAAGAACAGTGTAACAAAAACAGTGCCTAAGCCAAAACAGTTCAGAACAGCGATGAACAGAAATACAAACATGAGCGCTAAACGAAAAGAGAAGGTCAAACACACGTGTGGGTCAAAGCCAAAATAGCAATGAGTTTATCAATACCAAAAGGGGAATCCAAAGACTCAAAACACATTTATACACAGAGGGTAATGAGAAACAGGAGAAGACCCGGAGGCACAAGCAAACAATCTGATACAAGCATTTTAGGATGTTTTTCCAAAATCAAAAAACACAATTATTCCCCCAGTAAGGACTCAGACTGAATACAGCAGTCAAATCAAAGTCAGAATCCAGCACCACTACTAAGATTAAGTTAGACTGTTGGAGCTAATCAACATGCTAACTTAGAACCTAGGCAGCCAGAAGAAACAAGGCTATCAGGATTGGAGGTTTGGGTAATCAAGATTAAAAATCCACATTGACAAACAGGTTCTTAAGACACATCAATCAGCTGCACTGTTAATATACAACTCACATTTTCACTGGGATTTGTGGGAACTTCTGGCTAACAGACACAGAGATGTTGGCCAGGAGAGACGCAGGAGACGATATGACCCAGGGGACAGCAATGATGAGATTGATTTAGTGAAACTCTGCTCACAAGAAGCAGTGCACCCTGGGATTTATTATGGGGGTTTGCTTTGTCTTTCTAGACAGCAAATCAGCAGTTCTCTCTGTGAGTTTTCTTGATCTTCCAGATCTTGCCTGATTGTCACAGTTCCTCTTAACTGCTGTTTCTTAATGACAGCTCAAAAAAGTGGAGACTGTAAGCTGGAGGCGCTTTGATATCTTTTATATCAACCCCTGCTTCATTTTCAGATCCTCAGCCAGATGATTAAATGAGCCTTTGTTTTAAATTATGGGGGAATCAGGATCAACTTAGCTCCCATTAAGGAAATGAGCTCCTCTGAAAACAATAACATCTGCAGTTTTGGGAGATTTTCAGATCAAACTCCAAAGATCCCGTCTGTTCTGGCTTTTTTTGGCAGTTGGAGGCGCTATGTGAGATGCTGGTGTATGGTGTGATTTGCTGTATAAACACTTAAACATGAACAGAGATATGTCTGTGAGTGATGGACTTTGATTCGAGATCAAAGATTTCACATTTGTCCAATCACGAGTGGTATAACTAGCACACACCTTTATGTGTTGTGTTTTCAGCTATCATGCCATTATCTTTCCTGTCTTTATGCTCTCTACAGTTTGATAACACTAATTTAACTAGCTGGTAGCTTGCTAATCTATCCAAGTAGTGTAAAATTAACACATTATATCACATCTTTTAAAATTTACGAAATAATGAATACCTGCTGTTGGTGTATAATTTCTAATGCCTAACAAGTCAATTAAGGCCTAATGAGAATTCAGTTCTGAGACTTTATGAGCACGGTCTCCAAACTTTTGCATGTACTATAATAATTTTGCTTGTTTGTCAAATGCAAATATAATGTAACTGCAATAATAAATGTAGATGAATGTTATTTATTATTAGTGTGGTGCAGAGGCTGTGTGTGTGTGTGTGTGTGTGTGTGTGTGTGTGTGTGTGCGCACATACTTATACTGTAGGTCTTTGAGTTTGATGTCTGCTTGGAGGTAAAGGAGGCGAACCCTTAAAGAGAAACAGAGAAAATGTGTATTCACATTCATTTTTCCGTTGAATTAAGAGAATTTTATTTCTTTAGGTTAAGTTTATTAGATTATTTGATGGAGAATGATTTTAGGACAATGTCAATATGAAAAATGATCTCACCACTCGAGCAGCGTTTACATTCTGTTGTCTCTCTTTCTGTTGGACAGGCTGCTCCTAAACACAGAAAAAACACATTAACTGTAATTCACTGCAGTGCTGCTCTGAAACAGGAACGATGACGAAAAACAGGAAGTGTTCAGGAAAGGTGGGCAGTAATGTGAAGACCACTCAGTCTTCTGAACATGAAAAACAAAAAAAATCACAGTGTAGTTTGTATTTTTAAAGTTCGCCACATTAGATGTGTTTACAATGTTTATGTTTACAAAATGACGAAATGGTGTTGAAATATTAACTGGATATAAATACAATACTGACAACAATATATCACTTTAAATCAATTGATGTAATCTTAATTAAAGATTCGAGTAGGTAAAATTGTGCAATATTTTATCTTTGAAACTGAATCTTTCCGTCAGTTTTCAAAAATATTTTTACAAAATTTAGGGTTTATGTAGTCCTGGATCATCAAGTTATTGGCCCATTGGCACAAATGTTTGATGGGATAAATTTTGGTTTATGACATCAAAGCAGGTTATGCGATGACTGTGGAGCAATATGATACCAGAAGGTATTTTTAAAAGCTTTGACCAAACAAAACTTAGGTTTGTGGCAGGCAGGCATAAATACATACATACATACGAACATACATAAATAAATAAATAGATAGATAGGTAGATAGACAGATAGATAGATAGATTATCTGAAAGTTTTAGTATCTCAAACTAAATAAAATTATTTGAATGTGTCGTCATCTCTCAGTCCTGTTCACACAGTTTGAAGTGTGTGTGTGTGTGTGTGTCTACAGCACATTATAGATTTAGATTAAATTTTCATCATCATCATCATCATCATTAACCACTTAGTCCAGATGGGGTCGCGGTAGTTGGGAAAGCAGAGAATCTCAGATGACCCTGTCCCCTGCAACTTCCTCCAGCTCATTCCCAGGGACCCCAAGCTGCTCCCAGGCCAACTTGGAGATATAATCCCTCCAGCGGGTCCTAGGACGACCCCAGGGTCTTGTCCAGTAGGCCGTGCCTGGTACACCCCCACCGGGAGGCATCCAGGGGGCATCCGGATCAGATGCCCGAACCACCTCAACTGGCTCCTCTCAATGTGGAGGAGTAGCGGCTCTACTCAGAGCTCCTCCCGGATGACCAAGCTCCTCACCCTATCAAGTAGAGTGTAGCCTGCCACCCTGCGAAGAAAACTCAGTATTCTTGTATTCTTCCCGCTTGTATTCGCAATCTCATTCTTTTGATTCTCGTTCCTGAGAGACCCTACCAGGAGTGTATTGCTCCCAATGACTTAGCTCTGAAGATCCCTAGACCACACAAGCCCTTCCGCCACGACACGGCCCCGATCCAGGAAAGAAGTAAATTTTCTTTTTCTTTAATTGGCCTGATTTGAAAACTTGCAAATAGAATCAAGTGTCTTTAATTCAGCATTTAAATTTAATTAATCACAATGTACTTGTTTTCTATTCAAAATCGCATTTAAACTGTAGTAGCCAATTAATTATCTTCTCATCCATTTCATCCAGAATAAAACTGTTGACCTGTGGTTGTATAAATACAGTTGCAAGTTTACAGATTATATATTTTCTAAACATGCTGTCCTGCTATAGTACGATGTGAGGCTAAAGGCCATTACTGACCACAGTGCAGTCATTATCCTAGATATTCTAACACTGTATAGCAGTACAAAACAAAACAATGGCAGGATTGGACTGAACCTGTGGATATGAAAAACATTTTTATATATATGTTTCCTTATGCCCAGAAATAGACAGTTCACAGATCAGTGCTGATGATGACTTTAGTTACATTTATATATGAAAAAAGTATAAATTGAACTTGTGTTCTCACTGTGACGCATTCTATATGATGTAGCTGCACTTTGTACTGTGTCTTCTATGCAATGCTGCACAAATGGCCAATGTGTAGACCTCCATGAAGCTGGCCCCCATGTGGTCAGAAATGGAATAAAAATACTGCTGTTTGTTTGTGCTGCGTTTTGCTGGTTTGTGCCATAGGAGTTTGTGCTGGCAGCGTTGGCAGCGTGGAGAAATCAAACATTGTTTTATTACCTGTGACATCACTCACTCTAATAAGCAACTAAATCGCACCAATACAGTCTCATTCATTTGGGCTTTGTTTGTGCCATTAAAAGAAATGTTGGTGCTGTTGTATTTATCAAGTGTTAGGCAAAAAAATAATAATTAGTGATGTCGCTCAGCCCCCAGCAATGTCCAAATCACGGCAAAAAGATCTCATTCATTTGTGCTGGTTTGTGCCGTTAGGGTTTGTGCTCTTTTAATTCTTAAGTTATTGGATAAACAGTTTTTGTCACAAGCTATGATCATTTACCACACAATTGACACTAGTTGATGCTGAAGATCCGAGAAAGGCGCTTTTTGTCTCCTGAGCAGCTGCTGTCCCTGATCACTACAGAGATATCTGGCTTTTTAGCTTTAATTATTCAGCTTCATAATTGCACTGAGTAGACGTCAAGAGCTGATAAAAAGTGATGATTAGAAATTATTACTTATCATATTTCTGTCATATTTTGCTTATCTTTTAGCATTTAATCAATGCAGGCAAACTTTAGCAAAGTATTCTAAATAAATCAGCTACCCCTGCCCCTGGTGACAGGGATCTCTCTGCTGATACCCCTACCAATAACCCAGCCCTCTACCAATGAACGAGCCCTGTCTCCCCATCCCGATACCCTTACCAATGAACCAGCTCTGTCTCCCCATCCCCATACCTCTATCAATGAACCAGCCCTGTCTCCCCATCCCGATACCCTTACCAATGAACCAGCTCTTTCTTGCCATCCCCATACCCGCACCAATGTCCCAGCATTGTCCTCCTATCCCCATACCCCTACCAATGAACCAGCCCTCTACAAATGAAGCAGCCCTGTCTCCCTATCCCCATGCTACTACCAATGAGCCAGTCCCTTCGAATGGACCAGACCTGTCTCCCCATTCCCATTCTCCTACTGACACGCCAGTCCTGTCTCCCTATCTTCATATCCCTACCTATGAAGCAGCCCTGTCTCCCCATCCTCATACCCCTCCAGTGAACCAGCCCTACTCCCAACTGAGGAAGGAGCTGAGCTGCATTGTGTTGAATCATATGTCAGTTGGGATAACTGCAGGTTTTTTTTTATTTTTTTTTTACCAAAATTACATTTAATCTATATATTATATTTAATATATATGTAAAGTGGCCTTTACACATGTCTTATGCAAGGTATCACTGTATGCAGAATGTTGCATGCATATCTGCACAGTGTTATATTTTCAGGGCTGGTCAGGCCTGTAGTGGTGGGTTCCAGTGTGATATCTTTTCATGGGGCCCAAAATCTTTGGTAGCCCCCCTGTCTGTCTGTGTTCAGGTCTGCTGCTGACCTAAAGTCTAAAGTTTCTTGGAAGTTTGAGATGCGTTTGAACTTTAATCACCTGTTTTAATCTACATCATGCTGTAAAATGTAAATAAAAACAGAATGCAATTCATTTAAAACCTAATATAAGTGAAAATAGTATAGACAATATATCAAATGTTGAAACTAAGAACTTTCATTGTTTTTTGAGTATATGCTCATTTTGAATTTGATGCCAGCAACATTTTTCAAAAAAGTTGGGACAGGGGCAAAAAAAGACTAGTAAATAGTGTAATGCCAAAAACCATCCCATTATACTCCCAGTGGAACATCTGACAACTAATAAGGTTAAATGACAACAGGTCAGGACATGATTGGGTATAAAAAGAGCATTGCAGAGAGGCTGAGTCTTTCAGACATAAAGATTGGGAAGGGTTCACCACTCTGTGAAAGACTGAGCAGACAAATAGTGCAACAATTCAAAAATAACATTTTCGTAAATTAGCAAAAACTTTCATCACCTGCTGTACATAATATCATAAAATACTTAAATTTTAAGTTTTATTACACATTTCTATAACCTAAAAATAGCTCAGCCAGTTTGTATTGGCATCCCTATAGTTACTGAATCATAAACCTTAGTATGTAATAAGCTTCAGAGAATCCAGAGAAATCTCTGTATGCAAGTGACAAGGCTGAAAACTAATAGTGGCTGGCCGTGATCTTCGGGCCCTCAGGTGACACTGCATTAAAAACAGACACTATTCTTCAGTAGAAATCACTGCAGGGGCTCAGGAACACTTCTGAAAACCACTGTCTGTGAAAATAGTCCGTCGCTGCATCCACAAATGCGTTAAAATAAAGTTAAAACTCTAAAATGTAAAGAAGAAACCAAATATAAACAGGATGCAGAAATGCCACTGCCTTCTCTGGGCTCAAGCTCATTCAAGAAGAACTGTGGCAAAGTGGAAAAGTGGTCCGAGGAGTCAAAATTTAAAATTTTGGTAAATCATGGACACTGTATCCTCAGGGCTAAAGAGGAGAGGGACCATTCAGCTTATTATCAGCACACAGTTCAAAAGCCAGCATCCATGATGGAATGGAGGAGCATTAGTGCACATAGTATGGGTGACCTGCACACTTGTGAAGGCACCATTAATGCTGAACGATATATACATGTTTTGGAGCAACACATCCAGATGACGTCTTCTGCAAGGTTGGTCTCCTCAGTTCCCAAACGCTTACAGAGTGTTATTAAAAGAAGTGATGCAGCACAGTGGTAAACCTGCCCCCGTCCCTACTTTTATGACACGTTTTGCTGGTATGAAATTCAAAATAGGCATATATTTCTTAAAAAAACAATTAAATGTCTTAGTTTCAACATCTGACATGTTGCCTTTGTACTATTTTCAATTAAATATAGGGTTTAAATGATTTGCATGTCATGTTTTTCTGTTTTATTTACATTTTGTACAGCATCCCAACTTTTTGGGAAATTAGGTTGTATGTCACCTCATGTGAATGCATAAATTTTGTCAGAAAATTCACATTATGTTTAAGGAAATAACATTGGATGTATGGAGGGTTCATGTTCTCTTTTGGGAGGTCCAGAACCACCCCCCCATTTTGAACACTGATCACAGGAAAATAATTAATTACTTATTTAGTAATGAAGTGCACAGAATCCTAATTGGCCATAGAAAGACTGAAACTTGTTCAGATACCTGTTTTGCCATTATTGTTCATTGAGCCCTAGACATATGTCCATAAAGCCCATGAGATGATCTGGATCTGGTTTTATGTAGTTTTATTTAATATTTTTCTAGTTTTCCAGGCCTTTTAGATTATATATTTTATCAAAAGAGACTAATCCTAGCTCCTACATGTTTTCCTGTACAAGAAGAGTTATGTCTGATTAACATACAACCCCATTTCCACAAAAGTTGGGCACAGTTGCTGTGCAGAATGTATATATAGAATGCAAAGATGTGCAAATCATGTAAGCCATATTTTTTAAAGGAAAATACTACAAAGACAACATATCAAATGTTGAAACTGAGAATTTTTTTTTTTGAAAAATATATACCCATTTTGATTTTGATGCCAACAACAGATTCCAAAAAGTGGCGGCGTTTCTGGGTCCTGTTTATATTTGGTTTCTTCTGTGCGTTTTAGAGTTTTAACTTGCATTTGTGGATGCAGCGATGAACTGTGTTCACAGACAGTGTTTTTCAGAAGTGTTTCTGAGCCCAAGTAGTTATTTTTTTGTTGCCCCCGTTTTTTTGGAATGTGTTGTTAGCATCAAATTCAACATAGGCATATATTTTTCAAAGAACAATACATTTCTCAGTTTAAACATTTGATATGTTGTCTTTGTACTATTTGCAATGGAATATAGGGTTTAAATGATTTGCACATCATTTCATTTTGTTTTTATTTACATTTTGCACAGCGTCCCAACTTTTTTGGGAATGGGGTTGTATAAAAATATGGAAACACTTCTAACAACATTTTACAAAAACATCAACTGATAATTAGTGGCTGTGAAAAAAAATATTAGTTCATCAGAAATTAAAAATAGTTTATAAATGACAGTTCATGTAGTTCTGTCTTACTGAGCAAATATAACAACATAAACAGAAACCACTGGGGACGTGTTAATATCCTCTTCTTTCTCTTTGTGAGAATCAGGCTGGGCCTAAAAAGTAATAGAAGTTGATTTTACAGTAGGATTATTTTTGAAATGCAAATTATGACAAATATAAACTTTCAATGAAACGACAAACAAATATTGATTTATCAAAAGCTTTATTCATTATGTTTAATTGTATTATTCAATTATTTTGAGTTTTAAATTCCTGTGGTGTGACTGGGCACTGGGCCGTGGGTCTATCATCTTATCCGAGAACACAGAGAAGGTTCTACATCAGGTTAGACTGGATGTAATGGTAGCTAAAAACAGATGGGTATGTAGTATCAACAGCAGACAGGTAAGTGCTTTTAAAGCTATAGACTAAGCTTCTACTTTTCCCCTCTCTGAGTAGCCACATAGGTTCCACCCAATTGAGGCCGTGTCTGTTCCCCGAATAAAACAAAATTTCAGAAACCCAGTTTGTTCAACTGCACTGTGCCTCACAGATACAGGGATTAGACCTGGTGAATATCTTGCTCTGAATGAAGACTGATGGAAATCACTGCATGGGCTCAGAAACACTTCTGAAAACCACTGTCTGTGAAAACAGTTCATCACTGCATCCACAAATGCAAGTTTAAACTCTAAAACACAAAGAAGAAGCCAAATATAAACAGGATCCAGAAACGTTGTCACCTTCTCTGGGACTGAGCTCATTTAAAATGGACTGAGGTGAAGTGGAAAAGTGTCCTGTGGTCCGACGAATCAACATTTAAAATTCTTCTTGGAAATCATGGACACTGTGTCCTCCAGGCTAAAGAGGAGAGGGACTACCTGGCTTGTTGTCAGCGCACATTTCAACACCAGCATCGTTGATGGCATGGGGGGGCATTAGTACACATGGCATGGGTAACTTCTACATCTGTGAGGGCTCCATTAATGCTGATACAGGCTTTGGAGCAACATATGCTGCCATCCAGACAACGTCTTTTTCAGGGAAGGCCTTGATTATTTCAATAAGACAATGTCAAACCACATTCTGCATGTATTACAGCAGCATGGCTCTTTAGTAAAAGAGTCTGGGTGTTAAACTGGCCTGGCTGCAGTCCAGACCTGTCACCACTGAAAACATTTGGCACACTATGAAATGTATGAAATATGTTGAACAGCTGAAATCCTATAACAAGCAAGAATGGGAATAACATGAAAAGTATGGAGTATCCCTTTGCTCTTGTGGGAGGTCCAGGAACCCTCACACCACCCCCCATTTTGGACCCTTGTGAAGTGGTCATTCCAGAATGAAGTGAAGGGAATTTTTATTGACCATAGTAAAACTGAAACTTGGTCAGACAACCGTTTTGCCATAATTGCTAACTAGATCCCCTAGTGGTTTTATCCCCTGGACACACATTCATAAAACCCTCAGAATGATATGGGGCTAGGTTTAGGTAGTATTTCTATATTTATAATTTATCAGGCTTTATAGACTCCAAATTTTCTCAAAGGAGACTAACCCTATTTTCTACATTCTTTTCCTGTATAAGATCAGTTATGTCAGCAAATCTCAGTGGGAAATCTCAAAGAGACAGATGGGGCTATTTGTCAAAAATTACAGGATTATTTGACTAATGAGACTAATAATGAGACTGATTTTTTCAGGTAAAATTGTAATAGTTTAGAATGAAGGAAAGTGTCCATAGTTGAACAGAAGCTTGTCTACAGTGTACTGCAAAAAGCAAAACCTGCAGGTAAGGTGAAATGTTTGGTTTAGTGCTAGTTGATCCAAAACTGAAAATTTATGAATGTTCATAGATGTTAGTTCATAGTTTTGTTGGTGTTTCCTTGTAGAAATATAACATAAACAGTTAAAACATTGCAGTTAGAGTGTTGAGATTGTGTACATACTGTCCTACTTTTGCGTTTCTGGGGAAGTTGAGGTCGCTGCTGAGGAGCAGAAACCTAAAGATAGAAACAGTTTGAAAGTCACTCACAGCTTCAACAAATATATAATTTATACATGCACCTCATTAAAATATGCATTGGCCTGTTCACTCCTCAGTGTAATTAACTATATTCAATATGAGGAATGATTTTACAACAATGCAAATGTGACATGAGTCTATGGAATTTGAAACAGGAAATTAAGTCACCACTGGGGAAGGGTCTTTGTGAGGGTCAGGCTGGGCCTAAAAAGTAATAGAAGTAATAGAAGTTGATTTTACAGTGGTATTATTTTTGAAATGCAAATTATGACAAATATAAACAATGAAACGACAAACAAATATTGATTTATCAAAAGTTATAAAAAAGTAAATATAGTAATTTTATTATTCAGTTTTTACCAAATTTCTGTGGTGTGACTGGGCACAAGTGCTTATGGTGCAATGTGCAATGGTCATACTCGAGCTTTAAAACAGACTGTCAGATGACTAGAGCGAAAATGGTGCCTGACTAAACTAGAAGTGTTCCAGTCCATCTGGGGGGATTACAGCCTTATAGACTATAGAAGAGCACTTTCTACAGCTCACTCAGCCTCTCTCTCCTCTCTCACAGAAAACAGTAAGAATAATCCTAGATTATTATTTAGCACAATTTCTAAATTGACTAAGAACCAAACAGTTACTGAACCACACATCCCATCATCTTACAGCAGCAATGACTTTATGATTTTTTTTTTTATTAAAAAATTGAAACAATCAGGCAAAAAATTCAAAACCACCATTAACCTCTACATACTTGCTGCCTTACAAAGCTAACCCAGGTCTCAGGTACAGTGTAACTACTGCAGAGAGGCTGGAATCATTTACCTTACTTCAACAATCTGAACTAGTTAAAATAATTTCTACCTCAAAATCTTCTACTTGCATATTAGATCCAATTCCCACAAGCGTCTTCTGTCAATAACTAACTCCTCTCATAGTCTTGGCTACATACCAAAAATTCTTAAGATAGCAGCAATTAGACCTCTGATTAAGAAACCTAATCTTGATTCCTGTGACTTATCAAATTATAGACCCATCTCGAATCTCCTCTTTATATCAAAGATTTTGGAAAAAGCTGTGGCAAAACAACTAAGCTCCTATTTGCAAAGGAATCATGTACACAGAAAATTTCAGTCTGGTTTTAGGCCACATCATAGTACAGAGACAGCACTAGTAAAAATTATAAATGATCTTTTATTATTCTCTGACCAAGGATAAGTATCTTTACTGGTTCTGCTCAATCTTAGTGTGGCATTTAATACGATAGACCACTCTATTTTACTAGACAGACTAGAAAACCTTGTAGGGGTAACAGGAACAGCTCTTTCCTGGTTCAGGTCCTACCTCACTGATCGCTATCAGTTTGTTAATGTAAACGGTGAATCATCTGCCCTCGCAAAAGTAAAGTATGGTGTTCCACAAGGCTCTGTTTTAGGACCTGTATTATTCACATTATATATGCTACCACTGGGCACCATTTTCAGTAAACATGGCATCAATTTCCACTGCTATGCCGATGACACACAGTTATATATATCGACCAAACCAGATGATAAACTTTAACTTAACAAGATTAAGAACTGTATAAAAGACATAAAAGACTGGATGTCGAGTAACTTCCTCCTACTCAACTTAGACAAAACAGAGGTTCATCTTCTTGGTCCAAAAGCAGCTAGAAACTGTCTACTTTAACACTTAAACTTAATAGTTTATCAGTTGCAGGTTCATCTGTAAAACCTTGGTGTCACGTTAGACCCTGATTTGTCCCGATTGGTCTTTGTACTTTGTACATTTTCGATGAAATGTAGGGTTTAAATGATTTGCACATCATTTAATTTTGTTTTTATTTACATTTTGCACAGCGTCCCAACTTTTTTGGAAATCGGGTTGTATAAAAATATGGGGACACTTTTTAACAACATTAAAAAAAACATTAACTGATAATTAATGGCTGTGAAAAAAATAGTTCATCAGAAATTTAAAATTGTTCATAAATTACAGTTCATGTAGTTCTTTCTTGCTGAGCAAATATAACAACATAAACAGTTAAAACATTGCTGTTAGAGTGTTGAGATTGTGTACATACTGTCCTACTTTTGCGTTTCTGGGGAAGTTGAGGTCGCTGCTGAGGAGCAGAAACCTAAAGATAGAAACAGTTTGAAAGTCACTCACAGCTTGAACAAATATATAATTTATACATGCACCTCATTAAAGTATGCATTGGCCTGTTCACTCCTCAGTGTAATTAACTATATTCAATATGAGGAATGATTTTACAACAATGCAAATGTGACATCAGTCTGAGGAATTCGAAACAGGAAATTAAGTCACCACTGGGGAAGTGTTAATATCCTCTTCTTTCTCTTTGTGAGGGTCAGGCTGGGCCTAAAAAGTAATAGAAGTTGATTTTACAGTAGGATTATTTTTGAAATGCAAATTATGACAAATATAAACTTTCAATGAAACGACAAACAAATATTGATTTATCAAAAGTTATAAAAAAGTAAATACAGTAATTTTATTATTCAGTTTTTACCAAATTCCTGTGGTGTGACTGGGCACAGTGCTGTGGGTTTATCATTTTATCCGAGAACATAGAGAAGGTTCTACATCAGGTTAGACTGGATGTAATGGTAGCTAACAACACATGGATACGTAGTATCAACAGCAGACAGGTAAGTGCTTTAATGCTATAGCCTATGCTTCCTAAGCTTCTACTTTTCCCCTCTCTGAGTAGCCACATAAGTTCCACCCAATTGAGGCCGTCTCTGTTCCTTGAATAAAACAAAATTTCAGAAAACCTCACAAAGTTTGTTCTACTTATGTAATATACAATATATATATAACCAGTTAAATCAGTTTTCAATGACAGCACCTTTGGTCTAAAACTAGGACTGCTTAACATAAGAGCTCTTACATCTAAGGCTGTCATTTTAAATGAACTTATTACTGATTATGTTTTTGATGCACTGTGCCTTACAGATACAGGGATTAGACCTGATGAATATCTTGTCCTAAATGTCCTAAATATTTATAGCTGCGCTATCATGTTAAGCGGACTATAACATCCTCTACAGCTTGTGACATAATCAGAAACCTCCCAGATCTATCAGCTTTCATCAGCTGTCCATCTAATCTTACCGAATTAGATATCATCACCAAGTGCTTAGAGGATACTTTTCAATCTACTCTGGATGATGTGGCTCCATTAAAAAGAAAAGGATTAAGGCAGTGCAATGGTCATACTCGAGCTTTAAAGCAGACTGTCAGACAACTAGAGTGAAAATGGCGCCTGACTAAACTAGAAGTGTTCCAGTCCATCTGGAGGGATTGACTAAGAACCAAACAGTTACTGAACCCCAAATCCCATCAGCTTACAGCAACAATGACTTTATGAATTTCTTTAATAATAAAATTGAAACAATCAGGCAAAAAATTCAAAATCACCAGTTAACTTCTATAAACCTGCTGCATTACAAAGCTAACCCAGGTCTCAAGTCCAGTGTAACTACTGCAGAGAGGCTGGAATCATTTACCTTACTTCAACAATCTGAACTAGTTAAAATGATATCTTCCTCAAAATCTTCTGCTTGCATATTAGATCCAATTCCCACAAGCCTCTTCTGCCAATAACTAACTCCTCTCATAGTCTTGGTTACATACCAAAAACTCTTAAGATAGCAGTAATTAGACCTCTGATTAAGAAACCTAATCTTGATTCCTGCGACTTACCAAATTATCGAATCTCGAATCTCCTCTTTATATCAAAGATTTTGGAAAAAGCTGTGGCAAAACAACTAAGCTCCTATTTGCAAAGGAATCACGTACATGAAAAAATCCAGTATAGTTTTAGGCCACATCATAGTACAGAGACAGCACTAGTAAAAATTGTAAATGATCTTTTATTATTCTCTGACCAAGGATAAGTATCTTTACTGGTTCTGCTCAATCTTAGTGTGGCATTTGATACAATAGACCACTCTATTTTACTAGATAGACTAGAAAACCTTGTAGGGGTAACAGGAACAGCTCTTTCTTGGTTCAGGTCCTACCTCACTGATCACTATCAGTTTGTTAATGTAAACGGTGAATCATCTGTCCTTGCAAAAGTAAAGTATCGTGTTCCACAAGGCTCTGTTTTAGGACCCTTATTATTCACACTGTATATAAGGTACCCATGGGCACCATTTTCAGTAAACATGGCAATAATTTTCACTGCTATGCTGATGATGCCCAAACCAGATGATAAACCTCAACTTAATAAAATTGAGGACAGTGTAAAAAAACAAATAGACTGGATGTCGAGTAACTTTCTTCTACTTAACTTAGACAGAACAGAGGTTCTGCTTCTTGGTCCAAAAGCTGCTAGAAATAAACTGTCTAATTTAACACTTAAACTTAATAGTTTATCAGTTGCACCAAGTTCATCAGTAAAAAATCTTGGTGTCACGTTAGACCCCAATTTGTACTTCGATGCACATATAAAGAATATTACTAGAACAGCCTTCCTGCATTTCCGCAATATTGCTAAATTGAGAAATGCATTCTCTCTACAGGATGCAGAAAAGCTAGTTCATGCATTTATTACTTCAAAGCTAGATTACTGTAATGCCCTGCTGGCTGGATGTCCCAGCAAAAGCCTCAACAAGCTTCAGTTGGTCCAGAACGCTGCAGCCAGAGTTCTTACTAGAACCAGAAAGTTTGAACATATCAGCCCAGTTTTATCAACCCTGCCTGGTTGACAGTTAAATTCCACATTGATTACAAAATTCTCTTACTGACCTCTAAAGCTCTAAATGGAGTCGCCCCTCAGTACCTGAGTGAACTTCTCTCTCACTATGAACCATCATGCCTACTTAGATCACAAGGTGCTGCTCACTATTAGTACCTAGAATTAATAAAGTTACATCAGGGCAGAGCTTCTCATACAAAGCCCCCCAGCTTTGGAATAATCTTCCAGTCAGTGTTCGGGACTCAG